GTCTGCTCTTTTGAATGGTGTCTGGTTTTGAGTCAAAAATATACTAAGTCTTTTGGCGGGAAAAATCTTGCCTTGTGCAACGGATTTGTCCCATCAAAAGTCAAAGTATATGTTTGTTTTCTGACTAGACTCTGTTCAAAATCGCAGAAGTTTTTTTCTTTTTGGCAACCCTACATAGTCAAAAAATGGTAAAAGAGATAGCCTACATTCCGACTAGTTTCCAGGCCCCTTTTAAAAGCGCAATATATTTTTTTACTTATTTGTATGCAATGAAAGACAATAAACAAAAGAAACAATAGTAGTTGTAAAAGTTTTCATTGTTTATTCAATATCCTTCACTAATTACAACACTTTCGATAAGAAGTAAAGTTATTTACAATGGGCGAGGTACAAGTGATCATAGAACACTTAAAATTACTAAGTGTGGATATCACAACTACTTTCTTGATTAACCAATACAGAAAACTAATTAAGACGAAGTGTGAAAAACATTTCGATGAGTATTGGCATTTTGAAACCTAATTTTTCAAATTAGAAATTCCAACTAAGAGAAATGAATAAGTCGTGAATGCAAAACTTGGAACAAAAATTTATATCGTGGGAACATTTGGCTGTATAAAAAGTAACTACTACCTAACGTGTATTTGGAAACTCATAGGAACATTTATTTTAAAGACTATCAAAAAACAGCGTAATAAACTATGTCAACAAAACAAGCTCTGCATGTTTTGATTGCAAAGTCTATTACGCAAGTTGTACGAGTTTTTAGATTAATTTAAGAAACAAAAAAAATTGTTTGATTCATGGAAAACTTTCTCTAAAACGCTTAAGATTTATCAAATCTTTTTTACTGAAACTTGACTTCCCTTGCTGTTGGAGTAGCATTCGTATTTTCCTTCCAAAATGCTTGCTAATTTGCGGAGTTTGCAAAATTTAGATTAAAGCACTTGTTAACGATTTTGCAAGGTTCTAGACAATTAGTTCCTGATGAAAACTAATCTTGGTTCTTGTTTACTTTTGAGTTCTGGTCTATCGATATTTCAATTTGTTTGATGGTTTTTCGAAAACTTCTGATGGTTGAATTTTGCCGTTTAACGAGGAGTCCCAAAGGCGGAATGATTGTTACCGACCGCCATTAAATTACAGTTACTACCTCTAGTATTAATCTGACTATCTTGCCCTGTCCTCCTGAGTTCGTAAAGTCTTCTTGTCTTCTCTCTCCTGGATTGTGATCCACACCATTCAGCAATCAGTATTCACGCTGAAAGAGAGCAAACGTGCGTGTTAAAATCAGAGGAAATTCAACTTGTTTACAATTGAAGAAGCTGTAGCAAAGCATGCGACAATTTCCTTTGTCTGTATTGATTGTCAGGAATTATATGTGAAATTGATTTACTATCTGTGGTACTTTCGTCATTAACTTTCAAACTGAAGTTTGGCTTTTTCCGTGGAGGCAGGGAAGTTGTGTGATGACAACACTTTGTTACTTCTTTGTTGCATTAGTTAAATTAGCTTCGTTATTCTCCGCACTGGTAAATTGACTGATGTACTGATATTGAGAGAAGAAGTGAGATGTTGATCATATTACAGACAAGTTAACTAAAAAGCGAGATGATTTGGAAATCAAACGAGGGTTTCGCGATTGCGCACCCATCTCTATCAGGCGCGAAACGGACAAAATTCAAATTAAAAAAGCCGAACAAACAAAATTAGAACAAAAAAACTGAAAATAACTTTAAAAGCCTCAAATACAATTATCGCAAGCGAAGAGCAAAAGACGCCACACATGAATTAATGTTGTCTGGCGTTGTTAAAAACTTTGTGAAAAACAAAAATAATCAAAATCAACTTCGACACCTAATTTGAATTTTAGTTTAGCACGTGAAAACAAGACCTTTGTAAAATTATACTGCCAGCATAAACACGCATGCTAGTTATCATAATATTGCGTCAAAATTCTACATTCTTTAGCATTTTGCATACTTTCTTTTAAGAGCGAGAAATTTCAACAAACTATTTTCATTACTTTGTTGGGTTAAAAAACATTATAGGAAAGAAAACTTTCGAAACTTTTATTATTCATTGACGACTAATTTTCATCTTATTATCACGTTCACAATTAGTTAATTGAGCCGTCTGGCTGGTCTTTCCTGGGAATCCCCTTTCGTGTGCTAAAGATTTGTTTACATTCCGATCATACCATTGCTCGTAACAAATTCTATTCATAAATGTCAAAGCTCAGTAGAAGTTGAAACAACTGGATTGGAATTGCTCTTTTGATAAAATAAACACCATGTCATGTAAGTTCCTCAAAATTCTAATCATATTTAGTCAGAGTTCGGTGATCAGTAATTTTAAGTTGCCGCGTACAAACTGAATCTCTGTCCGTGTTAATTCGAGTACGGGGAAAAATAGTTTCAAGTTTGCTATGGTCTAAAAAATTTTTCATGGTGAATGGTAATAAGCAACGATGAATTAATTGAGAAAAGCAGCCTTAACTGAGCGAAAGTTGCACGATAAAAAAGAGATTGTACCTACATCACTCATACCATTGAAATGCGAAATGCAAAATTTAAACTCTTTCTGCCGAGAAAGCCAGATACAATATAATGCTGTCCTTTCTAATAACTAACTGCTAACCGAAAGCAAACCTGAGTGAAACTAACCACAAGCAAACAGTGCATTTGCCGTTCTGCGTTCTACAAAAACCTTGCAGTTTTTGGGCCTGTTCGCACTACGCGAAATTTTGTTTGATTTGCCAAAAAATCTGTCAACACGCAGCCATTTCTAGTGCGAACCATTTTTTGAACCAACCAAAATTTTTGCAAGCGCAACGAAACTTCAAAGATTCCATCGACTAGCTTTGGAGGCTGTAAAAATTTTGTCAGGCGAGAAAATCCTTTGTTCCTTGACATTCATCCGTCATTGGGTCATCAAATTTCGCAACATATGGATTACGAAGCGAACGTGACCGTATGACTTCCCGCTACTCTTAATTGAGCTAGATGGANATTTTTTTTTTACAAAAAATAACTCAAAAACTATTCACTTGAGTTAAAAAAAAAATTATACCCTAACTAACTAGTTCTGCTATTGAATTGATACTCAAATAGCAATAATATTTAGATATACTCAATCTGCCCTAGTTAAAACTTTTTGGAGAAAAGTAGGATTAAAAAGCCCGATTTCCTAGGTGGTTCTGACCTACTGAAAACTACTGCATCGAAACCCTAACGAAAATAACCATAAGGGTCAATTTTCTCTCTATTATACATGAACTATGATGTCAATATTATGGCTGACTAGGAACGCCCACTAGATCTGAAGGGTCTGTTGTACACCCCTGTTCTTCTGACTATCCCCACGTTAGGCCTATCTTTACTTCTGTGCTAATGAGCTCGCTGTGGCACCTTTAAACAATCAAAGGAGGCAAAGAAATTGTTTTAGAAAAAAAGTTTCGTTTTCTAAAAACTGCTCGAATAAGAAATAACAATTTTGTATGACAATAAAATATTAATATATGTTAGTTACTAAATTTGTGAAATCCTACAGATTGGTATTGCATTGATTTCATAATTTCTTAATCCTACAATTGAATATACTTTAAATGCATAATTTTGGAAAAAACTAGCTCCGATTTTTTGTAATACTGTTCGAGTAATAAATAACAATTTTGCATAACACTTTAGTAAATTGAATAAATTAATGATTTCTTGATCAGCCAATTGAATTTAGTTGCATTACCACAGAATGCTAGTCCATCACGGGTCACTCCCCCGCAATTTGGTAGGTTTCCCCAACAATTCGCCAGTACCCATTTATACTCCCGGGTGGAGAGAGGCACTGTGAGAGTTAGGTGTCTTGCCAACACAGTATCCCCGGCCAGGGCTCAAACCCAGACCTCTCGCTCCGGGAACAAGCGCACTAACCATGAGGCCACTGCGCCTCCCAGCTGCAACTGCCTGAAATGATTCCCATGTTATGTTAGCATGCACCTCACATGACCTCATGGGTACTGCAGCTTTTTTTTTGGACTGAAGGCATCGTCAAGTTAGCTACATGTAGCATGACCTCAGAGAACTTCATAGGCCAGGCTATGCTCCAAACAATGGCCAATGTGCTTAATAAATACATAATCAACACAACTGTTTGCTTGGATTGATCACATTATCAAGCCTTCACGACCTCAGATAACTTCATAGGGACCTCAGGCTCCGCTCCAAACACTCAAGCAATGTACTAGTACTTGATCATAAACTTATAAATAGATAGAAATCATTCCTATTGTACATGTACCTATCTTCTTCCAGTATTTTCCCACGGGCCTGTCAGGGCCAATGTGGAGTTAAGACTCCTGCGATTGTGCTTGCAATAGAGAAAAACCCAGGAACAGGTAGTATGCCCCAAACCAAAACAAAACAACATTATTTTAAAGGTCAAACTTTCCCTTGTTCACAAAAATCAAGACTCATTTGTGTCAGTTACAAATCACCCAGTCACTTTAAACCTGGTAATTACAGGTGAATTTTGTTTGCTTTAACTTCCTATTCATTACAACAAAATTAATATTACATGTACTGTTGATAACTTGACTCAAGCAAACTAGGAATATCCTAGCTAACTAATCACCTTCATGGTCAAGCAGATCAAAAAAGTTTAGAGGTACACTAACCATATCTAAGTCTTTCTGCTGGAGTTCTTCTAGTACTGTTTCTGCAGCAAGAATGTTTTTCGTGGACCTTGACCTGGAATGGATGATAGCAGAAACGACATCAAAAAAGTAAATCATTTTATTGTGTTGCTTTGAAGACAGCGTTTGCCCAGCATTGCTAAATTTCGAAACACGAATTACAGGGTATTTAAACACTAAGGTCCCGTCCACACTTATCCGCATATTTTTAAATCCGCAACTTTTTCTTTCCGTGTTCAAAAATTTCAACGTCCAGCATGTTCAAATCGAATTCACCTGTCCACATGCATCCAATGGTATCCGGATTCACTCTCGAGAAACTAGGCCTACATGTTGTGCTGCCATATTCACTTGGTTTATTGTTTGGTAAGAGACTGGACACGATTTTGCTACGTCATCAGATTCGAAAATACCCGGATTCACCATCCACACGTTATCAGATTTGTTGGGAATTTATCTTTTTCCACTCTGGAGAGCAGATTCAAAAATATCTGGATTTGCTGCCAAATTTGCTGGATGCATGTGGACAGAAGCCGTATTCGGAAAGAAAAAGTTGCAGATTCAAAAATATCAGGATACGTGTGGACAGGGCCTAAAAAACCAACATGGCGACAAACTCAACCCCGGGTGAACAAACTTTCTTCAACAGCTTCGACAGTATCAGAAATGATGCCAGGTTGCCATTATCATGTAATGATCTCTTAATATGCTTACCATAATTTTTATTCTTTGCTAGTAATCTTTTGCTAATAACAAATCACTTCATTTCTGGAGGGAAGTATGCTTCAATTCAGACTATTACTTTTTACCACTCTTACTTTGTGATCAATTTCTTCAAGAGACTGTACATCTTCAAGTAAAAGATGAACATCTTTCCCTTTGACATGCATAACAAAACCAGAGCACACCAGAGCACACTAGATAACTTCAGCATTTAATGTCTTGTCTGCCTTTCTTAAATAATGATTTAGTTTTCAATCATACTACAACTGTTTCCTTTCATTACTGGGAATCAGAATGTCGTTGATTCCTCACTGTACCTTAACTTTGGGATCCTGCGGTTCACTTCTTAATGGCTGCTCCTATAAAGAGTAAAGGCAAAAATGGAGATTCTGTTAGATTCCTCCACTATCTAAATCACTGTCTGTTTACTACAAATTTTGCTGTCTGCTATTGCCTATCATGCCTGCCATTTTTGCAAGGAACAAAATTCATATTTTATTCTGAGCATGCAAAGGTCAAATTCTTTAGTGTCCTCTAGTTGGGGTCGCATTTCATATGTCAGCCTTGTATGCAGTGCCGTTATCATGCATGTTATATATAATTATCACAGTAACAAAACCTCACTCATTGATTTTGCATTCTCATCAGTTAAATGAAGGGATAACGGCTTATCGCATCAACAAGAATCGAAAATGGAACTTCCGTACTGTTTTCAAAAACATTTACGTCATTTCTGTCAGTGGTGTAAGTATTAGTATCGTATGTTAAATAAGTAATTGTATTGTTTTGTAGAGTAAGTTATGCAAATTGAAGTATTGTAAGTAGCACCTGTAATTGCATTGTAATGTAATTAGTGTACATGTAAGTAGTGTAATGAGTGCATAAGTAATGAATTGTATAACAAGTTTTGTTAGTAATGTAAGGGACTTTAGTAGTTGTAGTACTGTTGTAAATTGTGTAAGTAGACGTAGCAGTGTTGTAAGTAGTGTGAATCATAATTAAAGTTATTAAAAAAATTTCTGTTACTTGATTTACATTCTTTCTCATTTGAAGATGCAAATAAAAAACAGGATATTCGAACACTTATAATTACCATAAATCCTCTATTGAGCCCCCCCCCCTC